GCTTATAATTTAAGTTCTCACTTAAAGCGTTGTTTTGCAAAATATTTAGATGGATAAAAACGCTTTACACATTCCAATAACAAACAAAAAACATGATTTTCATCTTCAAATGTAAATTTATTTCATTTATAAGCATCTTAATCATATTCTACCCGTATATTTTCACTTTAAACAATTATATACAACTACATAACATTCATTACATTATACTGTTTGAATTTAAGACCATTCTGTATCCGTAAACAAGTGAACTTCAATCAGGGTTCTATAACGACTCATTCTTTATTGCATAACGAAAATACAAAGAGCTAACTAATTAACCCAATACTTCTTATCAAGGAAAATGAAACAACAAATTAAAAAAAAACTTGCAAATTAACTATCTTATATTCCCAAAGAAGTGATAATTTACGCTGTTTCGTAATGGAATGTACCTTTACGATAATGAAAATAGTTTTAAAAAAAAATCTGCTAGCAGCGCCATATTTACGTAACTCAATCGAATTCGTCTTGATTTGTAAGTATATAGGTTGCATTCCGAACTCATTATTTTGTTGCTTGTTTTAGTTTGCATTTATAACAATTTCTACCTATTGGTTGTAAATTTAAACACAATCGTTATCCTTGTAATGAATTTGTTTATAATACCTCAATAATTAAAGTGTATTCCTAATTTATATTTTTATTTAATTTATTGTAAATATGGTGCCAATAAACTTCTTAGTCGCTATTACTAATGTCAAAATGATAGATTTTAATTTTATTATTAATAAATATTAATTTATCGATTTTTAGAAATTCTAACCCGATCACCAATTTCGACTTTAAAGATAAACTTTACATTCTTGGCTTCGATATTTGGTCTCGTTTCTTGAAATTTTTCCCAGAAAATAATAGAACAAAGATTAAATTAACACTTATATTTGCCATTATTACATTTTTTTTTCTATTATTATTACTGTCACATATGGTATGAATTTTTAGTTTCTGAAATACTTTAATCCATATCTTCAATGAAACTCGTTATCATTTGGTTTTCGACACACCCTCTAACAAGCCGTCGCGTTAAGATAAAATTTTGAATAATAGATCATTACAAAGAGGATGAAATGATGAACATTTCTCTCTCAAACAGTACCATCGTTTGAGATATTTTAATATCTTCATAAAACCTAATCATTACAAAGAGGATGAAATGATGAACATTTCTCTCTCAAACAGTAACCAGGTCCGATTTTTAGTGTTTAAGATATTTCAATCCACATGTAAAAACACTTCAATTAGTCGACTCAAGTCTACTTTACCCGAGCGGTATACTTCGGCGATCTGACGATCCAATCTAATTCATTCTCCACAAAAAAAGTACAAACGCACCTAAATAAGTTTTCACTTAAAAAATTGTCACAGTTAACTTAATATTTATCAAAATATATCGAATAGAATAAAAAAAAAGCAAATGGCATCTATTACCAGACCTGTAACACTGTCATAAGAACGAGTGGTGGAAAATATTACTAAACTCAATATAAACAGCACCCTTTGTCTTCCAACCCTACTGTACGGTAGTGAGAGCGGAATTCCGCTAGATAGGCATAAAAGTAGCTTGGCCGTAGTTGAAATGAAATATTTGAGAAGAGATCACATCCAAAGCGAACGGATTAGAGAAGTTAAGATGTCTCCAATGCTGGAAACCGTGGAAAAGAAAATCCTCAAATGGTTTAGTCAGGTTATGAGGAAGAACAAACACAGGAAAAACGATCAGAAAATGTCTAGACGTCGGGAAAAACTTGGGAGACGTCTCCGGAAAACTTGGATTGATAAAATAACCAAACTGAGATAGAAAAACTGCAAGATAAAATTTTGTAAAATTACAAAGAAGATAAGATGATAAACATTTCCCTCGCTGACAGTATGCAGGTCAAATTTTTAGTATCTGATATATTTTAATGTATATGCAAAAATACTTCAGTTAGTCTTTTTTAATTTCTAGTAAATACAGTCTAGACTTTACCCGAGCGTTACACATCGGAGATCTGACGGAAGTTGAGATCTATTGAGAGGAATCTGGCAAGAGACCGCGAAGACTGGATTACGCCTTCCACGCTGAAAGGCACTAAGGAGGAAGACAAAGAATATTCTTGATCTTATTTCATTAATTTTTATTTCTTCTTCAACCTTGCGTACAGGTCAAAATTTAAATTTTCAAGTTTTAAGTTTGAAATATTAAATCCTGATTTGTTTGATGAACTAACGAATTGCGAACGGGAACGTGAACGATCTTTTGTTTTAAGACGACGGTCGAAAAACCTGCATCGCTATAAACTGTAGTAGATATACCGATTCAAATGAAACTTGACAAAAATCTTCTTTTTGGTGCTCTTTAAACTTATCTGTATGAGATACTTCACCGAAAAGTACATTCCTTTCAAGATGGCGACCAAATGGCGTGTGTCGTGCTTATATAGATAAATTGATATACTTATTTCAACGAAACCCTTTAAGTTAGTGTGTATAACATACATCTCGAAAGAAGCTGGGAAAAAAGTTTTGAGCGATGGGAGCAGCCAATTTGTATATCAGGCATCGGAAATCAAAACTCTACAAAACAAAACAAGAATAAACGAAACCGGTCGACTAGTTTCTTTATATAATCTTAGCATTGACGGATAGACATACCAATAGCTGAATATGTGTTTTTCGGTATCCTGGGGCTCTCAAACGTATAGATTAGTTGAAAACTTTGACCCGATCGCAATACTTACCTGATAGAGGTAGCGAAGTAAAAAATCTAGAAAAGTAAAAGGACAAGAAACAAACAAAAAAATGAATTAGATTTACTTTCCTAAAAATTAATCAAAGAAAAGACTCGAGTACGATTTATTTTATTTATTTATTTATTTGATAAACTAAAATAATGTAAACTGGCTTAAGGTATATCAGCTTAAAAATTTCAATACTCTCTAATATTGCTGATCAAAAACTTTTTGCCATTGCCCAATTTTGTCAAACAATATTTTCTGTTAAACAGATTTGAGCAGTATATCAAACAATATTTTTTTAAATTCAAAATTTTTTGTTTGTAATTTCATTATCTTCAAATAAAGGCTAAACGTGTTAGAAAAGTAATTAAAAATGTAGAAAATAGAATAGCTGTATCATCGTTAATAATGATTCAATTCGATGATTTTTTTTTTTTTTTGCTTTTAGGTACTAAATTACAAAAGAAATATTTTATATTTTTCAAGATATACTTAGCGAGTTAGGCTCAAAACATTTTCTTTTCTTTATCTTTTTCCTGAATTTTCTCAGGAATTTAGTCCATTACAAAATAAACTACTTATTAAAATTAGAAGTTTATTAAACCGTAAGAGCGTTTTCACGCTGCAGTCTATAGAAAAACATGTTTTTCATTTTTGCTTTGCGGGATCCAATTTCTGTCACAGGCGTCAGTAGTCAGAACCCTACAAAATAAAAAAAGAAGCAACAAAATTGGTCAACTAATTCCCGAGAAAATCTTGGGAAGATAAATTTGTTTGACTCAAAGGGCTCTGATCTGTCGTATAGATCTCTTGAAAACCGCATACCGGAAATTTGACCCAATCGCAACACTTTCCTTATCTAATAGAGGTAGGAAAGTAAAAAAACGATCTATTATGATTTAATATATAAAATAAATGTGGAAAAAAAGATACTATTTTGTAAATAAGAAGAGATGTCCGTGTGGCGATCATAAATATACTAAATAGTTTCAAACCTATTTTCTTAAAAGCCAACGTTTCGACCCGACTTTGTAGATTTTCTTCAGGACTAGAACGGACAAACGGGAAAATATTTTAATCATAATTTATAAATAAAGTATTTAAAATATTCGACAAAAGTATTAATGTGTAAAATATGAGTATTATTCAATTGAATAAAACTAATACAATTCCCATACTACTGTCTTCTAATCTAATAACATCTGTAATATTTAATAAGACCTATTTCTTAAATAAGGAAGGAGATGGTTCGGGGTGGCGGTTATAAATAGACTAAATAGTGGTAAAACTATTTTATTAAAAGCCAACGTTTCGACCCGACTTTGCAGGTTTTCTTTAGGACTAGAACGGACAAGATACAAAAAGATAGAGAATTGTGGAAGTTATATAATATTTAGACAAAAAATTACAAACAATGTGAATAGGCTTATTAAAATTATAAACAGTAAGTACATTAAAATATAAACAGAGTAAGCTAAGTAACAAGATCCTAAACTGAAGTAAATAGATGGTAACAATTGTTGTAGTATAATATATATGTGAATATGCTCCTACAGATCAATAAAAGATTCACAATTCAGTTTAGGATTTTGTTACTTAGCTTACTCTGTTTATATTTTAATGTACTAACTGTTTATAATTTTAATAAGCTTATTTACATTATTTATAATTTTTTGTCTAAATATTATGTAACTTCCACATAATTCTCTATATCTTTTTGTATCTTGTCCGTTCTAGCCCTCAAGAGGAACTGCAAAGTCGGGTCGAAACGTTGGCTTTTAATAAAATAGTTTTACCACTATCTAGCCTATTTATGATCGCCATCCTGTACCATCTCCTTCCTTAATAATGCAATGGTCAAATATTAAATATTTACATTTTTTTTAAAATACATTAGTTGTAAGCCACCACTTCATAGGGCCTAATTTGTATTTTTTTTTTTTTTTTTTTTTTTTTGTAATTGAAATACAATGTACAACTTATGGTATTTTGTACTTTAAATATTTTTTCTGAAGATAATTTAAATACTGTATTTATAAATTATGATTAAAATATTTTTTCCCTAGTCTGATAGAATGGTTGGCGATGGTTAACTTGGTGTAGAAGTTAGACTGTACTTTTTTTATAAGTTACAATAAGATTTTAACAACAAAAAATTGTATTGACTACTGATTGATTTTGAGTGGACGATCATTAAAGTCTCCAGAAGAGGCTGAGGATCGTTTCCACAAAGGTACTCACCGTTCCAGTGGTGGGCCTTCAGCTCGACTTGCAGACAGAGCAGCACGACGGCCAGGCCGAGCAGAGACCTGGAGGACATCTTGTAGGTCTGAGAGCGAGGTGAGTTCTGCCGCAAGAGAGTTTTCAGTACCCCCGGGAAGCGATCCGGGGGAACCCGATCTTCGCCGAGCGATTATCGTATCTTCGTCCGTTCGTTTATCGTTTTTTATAAAGTGAAACCTCCTAATAAAGACCTCTTTAAGGGAAATTTCTATATAAAGGACTACTTTGACACACTGGGGCTAGTAATGTTTTTTTAGGTATGTCAAATCTTCATTAATTATTCATCGAATCCAATGATTGACTCGTAATTTCGAAGATTATCTTCTCCTTCAGGGGCGAAATAAACCTCTGCCAAAGAAGCCAGAAAAAAAGATATAAAGAAAAGAAAATTTTGTTTGGGCATAAAAAAAATATATACAATTTAAGGTCGATTATTACAAAGATAATCTACAAGATTTCTAATTGTTTTAAAAAAAGTTTTAAAAAGGGCCATTTAATTAGGCCATTTTTAGTAAAAAACAGCCTGATTTGAACATATCTTTTGGCCTACTATTTTTAATGATAATACACTTCAGAGGGAAAAGATTGCAATTTAAGACCAGAAAAAGTTTGGTAGATTTAATAGTTATTGAAATACAGATTTTCAAAATTTTGGCAATTTTTCAAACTTGAAAATTATAAGCTGTTTTTCATACTTGGCCATCCGCAATTGTCTTTATATCTTCAATATGGTGGCTCAGGTTGATTTTTTTCGTCACTCTCCGTTACCTTCTAGAATTTTACATTTAATTTTCTAAAGTTCTCCGCTTTCCAACGATATATTATACATATAACTTCTGACAAGTATTTCCGAAAATTTTCGACCTAGATAAGCATTTTCTTTTTTCCTCCAGTTTCCAAACATATACTATGAACATCACCAATTTCGTGGTTTGGAGCAATTTTTGCTTAAAGTGGAAGTGCATTAAATATAATCTCATAAATATCTCCGTAACCATTGATTTTATCAAAAACATGTATAGGGTCATTTTTATAAAGATTTTAAAGTACTGAACAATCTTTGTTAAAAACCAGATAGTTACGTATCATCCAAATGCTTTTGCCCAATCCCTATCAAGCACCTCCCATCCCTATAATCCTCCAAGAAGATTGAAACGTCAGTGGCCCTGCGAAATTTTGTAGACTGTATATAGTGGAGTTCTGGCAATGGACAGATTCTCCACCCAAGACATGAGTGTATGTGGCTAAAGTGCTCTCGACCAATCTCCGCTGGCTTAAGTACCAGTGATACGGTTAAGAGAGTAGCGCAGGGTTCTCCTGGAGTTCAGCTTTTCCCTCCATAGTTGGAGGGATAAGCCTTTCTCGGAGTTCCCTCGCCTGATTGTAAATAGTGTATATAAGTATGCATGTGTTTTTTGCTTTGTTTTAATTTTAAGTTATTTTATTTTATTTATTGTATGTACTTTTTTATTATTATTTATAGTTATTTAGCTTCTATTTATTTTATATATTTTTTAAATATAGTGTTAATGTTATCCTATCTCACTATAACTTATGTCCAAGTTATAGATTGCTGTAATACTCAATAAATAAATAAAAAAAATATGTTCTCCATGCTTTTGATACTAGACATGGTAAGAACAATAGGCATTATTGCATTCACCTATTTGAATGTTTTGTTATCGGCGAATGTCTCGCACAGACCAATTAGTATTGTATAATTAGAAAGATCGTGTAACTCTGACTGTTTCCCTCCCAATTCTTCTCATGTCTAGTACCCTAATCACCTGTCATGTTAACTCTCAATCCCTCCCTGCCCACTATGACGAGTTCCTGCAATATTTCACTCAAAACTTTTATCATATTATCGCAATCTCGGAAACTTGGCTTAAACCTTACATCCCTTCCTCTTCTGTTTCCTTGCCTAATCACACCCTCCTCCGTCATGATCGTGTAAGCCGGAATGGCGGAGGAGTAGCCATGTTTGTCCATAATAGCCTGAAGACTCGAATCCTCGATTCCTCACCACCCTCCGATCATCCTCAGGTTGAATACCTTCTAGTAGAAATCCATTGTAAGGATCTTCCTCTCCTTTACACTGTGGTATATCGTCCTCCCCATGTTCCATTTGATCAGTCCTTCGAATCAACCCTATTCAACTTCGTTCCTCTATATCCCAGAATAATCATCTCCGGTGACCTCAATACCAATTTCCCCTCTAACTCCAATGACAAATCCTATCTAGAAAACCTAATTTTCTCTCTGCACCTCTTCATAGTTCCATTTTCCCCCACCCACCACACCAGCAGGTCAGACACTTGGCTAGACTTCTACATTATAGACTCTGTACAAAATCTCCTCTCCTCTTCTCAATTGCCAGTATCATTCTTATCATCTCACGATCTTATACAAATAACATATAATATCCAAACTCCTTCAATCCAGCCTCGAACTATCACCTTCCGTCACCTAGATTCCCTTACTCGAGAAAAAATATTACCTGACCTAGAAACCCTAGACTGGAATGGAATATATTCTTGCTCTTCCATCGACTCCATGGTTGACATTCTTACCACCAATCTTCTCAATATTCTCAATACCCATGCTCCCCTCAAGACCTCTACCTTTCGTCACCGGCCTGCTCCTTGGATGTGTCAGGAAATCAAAGATCTGCAGAAGAGGCGCGACGCTGCCCGAAGACGTTTTAGACGTACGAGGCTTGCAGATGACTACCAAGCGTTCAGGGTGCTTCGCAACTTGGCACAGACAAGGATCCGGCGTGCGAAAACTTCCTACTTCCATGAAACCCTTTCCTCAGCTCCTGATATCAAATCGAAATGGCTACTGCTTCGTAAACTTTCCATTGGTAATCCTTCCAGATCCCCTACCGCAGCCTATCCTGTATCCTCCGATGATTTAAACTCTTATTTTATATCTGTCGCTAATACCTCTTCTCTACCTTCCTCTTCTGGCTTTGCTCCAGAGATATCCTTTAACGACAATAACTTTTATTTTTCCGACATTTCTCCCACAGACTTGTTAACCGCGTTAATGAAATCCCACACCAATTCCATAGGGCCAGACGGCATTCCTGTCAAATTAATAAAAATATGTCTACCTGAAATCCTCCCAGCTCTCCTTTTTATCTACAATTTCTCCCTTCAGAATTCAGTATTCCCTACCTCTTGGAAAAAAGCCATTGTCCTTCCTTTAAATAAAAAGCCTAATCCATCCTCACCCGAAGATTTCCGTCCAATTTCAATTCTTTCTAACCTCTCAAAGCCTCTTGAAAGACTGGTGCAATCCCAAGTCTCCAAGTTCCTCGAAAATTCCAACCAATTTGATCCTCTCCAATCTGGTTTCCGTCCCGGCTATTCCACACAATCTGCCTTAATTAAAATTACCAACGACATTCAATCTGCAATAGATGATAGAAAATTAACTGTCCTTATTCTTCTAGACTTCTCCAAAGCTTTCGATTCCATCAACCATTCCATCCTCTTCAACAAACTAAAATCATTATCTTTCTCCAATAGTTCCATCTCTTGGTTCCAATCTTTCCTCTCCCAACGCACCCAAGCAGTCTCCATACCCAACCAACCACTATCTGCTTTCCTTTCTTTATCCTCTGGAGTTGCCCAGGGTTCAAGCATATCTCCTCTCCTTTTCAGCTCCTACATTAACGACCTACCTAAATCAATTCTCCATTGTTCCCATCACCTTTATGCAGATGATTCCCAGATCTACCTATCCTTTTCTCCCTCTGAGTTACTGGGGGCATTTGCCAAGATTCAAGAAGATCTTGATCGAATCAATGCCTGGGCAAATGTAAATGGATTAAAGTTAAATGCTGCCAAAACTCAGGCCATCGTCATTGGTTCCAAGCCCCTCATTAGATCCCATACTGACTTTCCCATATTACACCTTAATGACCAGCCAATTTCCTTCTACTCCTCTGTTAAAAATTTAGGATTTTTCATAGATCAAACCCTCTCCTGGACCAACCATATTTCTCACATTTCCCGTCGGACAATCTCTACCCTTAAACTATTTCATCGCTTCCGCCATCTCCTTTTTTTTTTTTTTTTTTTTTTTTTTTTTGTGGCACAACATCCCGTTACCGAGACTGGGCCTCCTCCAAGAGCCTCCGCCAGTTGGCTCTGTCTTCTGCTGCAGCTCTCCAGTTCCGTACACCAAGCAGGGTTCTCGCATCATAGGCCACGTTGTCCAACCATCTCGTCCTCGGCCTTCCTACCCGTCTTACGAGGTGCAGCTCCTCCATCATTATTTTTTTTGGTATTTCAACGGTGCTCATTCTGGCCACATGCCCTGCCCACCTTAGTCTGGCCAGTTTAATATACGTGACTACGTCGATGTCTGCATAGAGAGAACTGAGCTCCCTATTTTTTCTTTTCCTCCAGACATCACCCTCCTTTACTGCACCATAAATCCTTCTGAGGACTCCTCGCTCAAACACACTCAGCTTCATCTCATCCTTTTTTGTCATCGTCCAAGCCTCTGAGCCATATGTCAAAACAGGCCGAACAAGGGTCTTGTATATGATCAGCTTGGTCTTCTTTGAGAGGTACCTACTTCTTAAGTGTCGGCCAAGTCCAAAGACACATCTATTGGCAGCCGTGATCCTTCTTTGTATTTCTTGAGCCATGTCATTTTTGCTATTAATTTCAGACCCAAGGTATATAAAACTTTTCACTCTCTCAAACTTAAAAGAACCTACCTCAAATGGAGAGTTCAGATCCACCTCACCACCAACTCTCATATACTTAGTTTTCCTCTCGTTGACTTCTAGACCAAGTGGTCTTGCAGCTGCTTCAAGGCCTATAAACGCTTCTCTGAGAGCCCGTTCAGACCTACCTATTATGTCAATATCATCAGCAAAACCAAGAAGCTGTGTCAGGCGATTGAAGATTATATCGTTGGTCTGAATACCGGAGTCTCTTACAGCTTTCTCCTCTGCCAAGTTGAACAATAGACAGGCGAGGGCATCCCCTTGCCTAACCCCACTGCTCACTTTAAACTCTTCGGAGTCGTCAGAACCGAC